CCTGCAACCTAGAGGGAAAGATTCAAGAAATATCAAAACAGCTGCTGATTATGCATTTTTAATTCTAAAACAAGACTTGCAACTTCCCCTTTTTCCAGTCGTACCTGAATTCAACTTTCAATTTTTGAATCCTAATTTATTGAAATCCATTAACGCAGGCACCCCTCTAACATTAAGGAGCTAGTCCAGAAAGTTAAATTCAGGCTCCAAAAAAGAGTAACTAAAGTTTCCCGTTTTTCTGCATGTTTGCGTTGACCTCTGACCTTGTTGGCGAACAGCGGCCGGATGCTGTTGAAGAGCTCCAGCTGCTGCTGCAGGTTGTGTCCACACTGCTCCGACACATCCATGACGTAGAGGACCGCTGAGCGCAGGTGAGCCAGAGCCGTGATGGCCTGCATCTCGATGGTGTTCCTGTCCTCCAGAGGATGATCCAGGATGCCGGGCGTGTCCACCACCTGCACAAAAAAAAAAGAACAAACCGTTAACCGTTCAGTCCACGTGAGTTTAACTCTGTGAAACAGAGTTGCAACTGAAAGAATGCTCTCGGGTAAAAGTTTGGACTGAATGAATGATGGAATTTAAGTTTGGGGTTTAAAGAAAGACCATTTTAGTTCAGAAAACATATGGTAACAACTTCAGGAGCAACACAGTGGAGATAAATATAAAACTGATAATACCCCGATGCAGTAAAACAACGCGTGTGTAGCTAAAGAGTGATGCGTGACCGACCTGCCAGCGGAGGTATCTGTAGTCCATGTGGCCCACAAACAGAGACTTGGTGGTGAACGCGTACGGCTGCACGTCGACGTCCGCTCGGGTCACCTGGTGACAGACGGGATTTGTGAGCATCGTGCACGACTGCCACGCTTCCGGTTGTTGTCGTTATTGCGAGAGACGCCTACCTTGTTGATGAAGCTGGACTTGCCGACGTTGGGGTAGCCGCACAGAAGCAGAGTCCTGGTGTTGGGGTCTATGCTCGGCAGACGGGACAGATGCTGACGCACTGGCGAGGGAGGACGAAGCGTTAAAAAGGAAAAGACAACAACAAACCATCGGAAAACCTCTCAGGCGACCTCTAATACCTTGTTCCAGATACTCCAGACTGGACTTCTGTCTCTTCAGGATGGTGCACATGCGGCCCAGAGCGGCCCTCTTCAGCTGCTTGCACCGGTACAGAGAATCTCCGTACTTCATCAGGCGCACGTAGTCTTTGGCCACGCTTGATGTTGACAAAGACGTTTCTTGTATTATTTACCCCGCTCCTCGTCGGGATGAGCACCAGCCGAAACCGGACTGGTGTATTTTATACCCATAAACGCTTCTTTATTAAAAACATGCTGTTTTCACAATGTCCATAAAGAGAAAGTTTGGCGCCAACCACATTAAGACATCGGTTAAACAATTAGCTTGCATATGACATTTGAACTCACCTATCGATCAGATTCTTGGCGATGTTTATCTGTCCCAAAGCTAGCTTGTAATGATCTTTGTCATACAACACGTTCATAAGATCGGCGTAGAACGGGTGGATGTCCTGGAGGAAAAAACAACATGTTGAAAGTTTCCACAACCCAAATATGCTCCTCATAAAACCAAGGACTTTTGGTGGCGCCGTGACTCACATCGAGCTTGGGGAAGTCGGTGAGGATCTGCGTGAGGCGGTCGTGGTAGCTCTGCTGGGTGAACTTTACTTTCCGCATGTAGAAGTGACGGATGCGGTGGATCTGGTAGTGCTTGTGCACCACCGTGGGGGTCTTCCTTTGGGTTTTGGATAAAGTGATGTCGATGAAGTCCTGCAGAGACGGGAACAGTAAACAAGCTGTTATTATTTTGTTTTTTTCCTCAAAGGATACGTACTTGCTGTTGTTTACTGGCTAAACTTCAATTTATTTTGCCACAGGTAAAATTATTTGTACAGTATTTAAGTGATGATTGCAAAATTCCATCTTATAATTGTATTTCATATCAATGGATACTTAACTTACTTTAGTGTTTAGTTAAACAGTTTATTTATTTAATAAAAATACCATTTAAGCCTTTTTCACTAGTGTCCACTAGTACTAGTGTATTATATGAATCCCTTTTCTTTTAGCGGGCAACTTTTATGAGAACCGCTCTTAGTAATGATGCCGTTAAATCTGTCAGTTTAATACACCGCCGCACATCGGTAAAAGGAGACACCTTGTAACCACCCTTTGTAATATCTCCACACATAATCGATATCCTCTTGTCAATTCGGCAGTACAGTTAAACAGCTTAATACATTTGAAATCTACCTTTCACGTCGCCGTGGGCAAACGGGAATGTTACAACGTCCTGATTTCATAACGGAGTTTGGTGATATTTGTTAGGTCCCGCGTGCAACTTACTAACCACCCTAGAAGTCCATTTATCGCCTTAACCAATTCGAACTCAATGATGTCATGAAGTACGTGTACAGCTGCGGTCTATTTACACCAGCGCAGCACGTGTTTTCCTCCCGAACAGAACTCCGTGTTTTTTTAAACCCCTTCCCCCGTCCCTCAGAGCTAAACAAAAAACAAGGCGGGCAAAACAAGACTCCTTTAACACGCTAAAGGCGAACAATAAAACGTACCTTTGCGGTGGGAACCACCATAATCTTCTTAAAATTGTACTGTGCCATCTTGTCGGACACGTTGGGGTCCGCTGACGGCACCGGGGAAAGGAAGGCAGCTCGTTCCGCTAAAACCGGAAAAGACGCTCAAAAAACACCGAGTCTTTCTGCACGTTGCCCCCTCGTGGCTGGATGCAGCAAGTACAGAAAAAAAACAAATGAAACTTCTGACAGTATCTGATAGTAGTTATATCTCATAGTGTTTATATTTGATAGTAGTTAAATCTGATAGCGGTTATATCGCATAGTGTTTATATCTGCTAGTAGTTATATCTGATAGTGGTTATATCTGAACATCATAATGATGTGACTCATGATGTCACAGAACATCATAATGATGTCACTCATGATGTCACAGAACATCAAAATGATGTCCCTGTGCCAAGGTGATAGCCGGAGCCTCATCTGATGTCAGGTGTCATCATGAAGTCACCGGAGGTCGTCGTGGTTACTTTATGATTCCACTGTGTCATCATAATTATGATGTCAGCATGATGCTGATGATGATTGAATTGGAGTCTGTGGCGTTCGTTCATTGGGGACTTCTGTCGAGTTGGTTCAAAGTGTATATATATATATATATATATATGTATGTATGTATGTATGTATGTATGTAGTAGTAAAAACTTCATATTTATAATGTCACTATGATGTCAGTGTGATGCCCCAGTTAGCAACATCGTCATACATCATAAGTAAATTACTCATCTTCACTTATGATAAAACTGTCCCAAATGTATCCTCCATTTGTTCCACACTTCCCAATAGATGTCATATGTACGGAATGATCAACATAATATAGTTACAGACCATTCAATGCATATAAATGTAACAACAGTATAATCGTACATCTAAAAAAAAGAAAAAGGTTCAACTGGTGTAAAATCCTCTGTAGCAATAAAATCAACATGTGATCCAATTATTTTGGAGAAGGTAGTTTGTTGTACTAAGTAGCTCCTTTACAGTATAACGTCAAGCATTTGTGTTATTTATCTGACCTCCTGGATGTAAATTTGGTGGACAAAAAAACAGACTTTATCCACCGCTGTGTAGCTTCCCTAAAATTATTCATCATACTTTTTTGGAACTAAATCTGCAAAGTAATGAATGAGTTAAAGCTTCAAATAAATGCCAATGGAAGAAGAAGACAACATCCTGTACAAGTTTCTCAAAAACTGTATTGTAGTAAATGTACTTTGTGACGTTACACTGAAAAAAGTTTTGTCCCTTAAGTTATAAGGAAAAAAATTGTCCAACAGGAGGAACTATTACATTTGTTGGGGACTACTTTCAGCGGCGGACTAAAGTCCACATTGTTAGCGCTTGTGGGACATGTTCATTAATGTAAGTTTAATTGTTTAACAATGAGTTCCATGGCACACGGGAATAACATGCACCAGGATTTGTATAAATAGCACTCGTTATAAGCCATTAGTTTTTGTTTTGAGTTGTTTTCAGGGCGTTTGTTGACAGTCAGAAAAATGTTTAAACTTTCACCCGGAAGCGACTTGACTCCATCCTTGTTGTGATTCCCGGTGATCCAGAAACAGCCAATCAGCGGGTTCCTATGTGAGTAAGGACTGCCCACTACATCCAATCTCGAGTCGTAACCCCGTAGGCCCACTGCCAGTTTAGACCAATCAGAAGTGCCTGCTGTGAGGGTTGAGAAGGAGGCGGGAGCTCGAGCGCAGTGTGACAGCTCCGAGTTGAGTGGTCCACCGGAGAGAGGAAAGATAACGAAGAGGTATCCCTCTGCTGTTATATTTACCATTTAGCTCAAAAAGCATCTCTTCCACAGACTTCAATTGAATGATGTGTTCTACTTTACACTGGGGGAATGCGGCTTGTTGCTACAAGCAGGAATTGGCAAAAATATATCAAAATGTATTTTGATACAAAATACCCCTCAAATAAATGTATTAAAATTAAATACAAAATACTGGTGCCAGAAAATGTAACAAAATACAATAGATGTATGTTGTATTTAAAACATTTTCCGTTTCATCACATGGTGGAATAGAGAACGGCAAAGGAAGGATCCCTATACTGGGATGGATAGACTACCACGGATGTCACGTGTACAGAATGAACAACGTAAAATATGTACAATACGTTCAATTCCTACGACCTAATAATTATTATTCCTAATTATGTACACAAAGCTCCGGTGAGCCCCACAAAAAGGAAGAACAGTCACAAAATTGCAGTGTGACTGAATAAAGCTATTAAAGACACAAATGTTATTAATGAGGACTTAGGTATAAGTATTGATTATTATTAGTTTGTTTACGATAGACAATAGACGATCTTTGTGCTGCACACGAAAGGGAAAGGAAGCAGCCCCCCGCCTCCTCCCCCTCGTCCTCCCCCCTCCTCTCTCATCTTTAGCTGTACCGAGTGTTTGATCGATCGGAAGCTTTGAGACGAGTATCGTTTATTCCTTGGTTTCGGGGATCCTTCGGACTGATTTGTGACTCCCCGTCCCCTCCGGCGCACACCTGCCGTTGACTGCGAGGACTTCGCGTCGCGTGAAATCGTCCCACGCGCAAGTTTTATCGAGCCCGAGCGCACAAAGTTGTTGGGCGAGCTAGTTAGCTAGCCACCTAGCTAACCACTCAGCTACTTCTCGGCTAGCTCACTCGCTAACTAGCTTGCAGAACAGGAGCCCGTCTTCGCAGACAGCTTTATTTTGTGGGAGGGGGCGTCGTTTTTGTTTTGTTGTTGTCGTCGCACTGTCACCGTTCGCAGCTTGACACCCCTGAGAACGGAAGACTTTTCGCGGTCGGGGTTTACAGCGGCAAGCCGGTTGCCTTCCCCACTAGCGCGCTCGATATAGCCCGCTAGCTAAAACCCTGCGTATTTAGCCTGGAAGCCAGTTGAAGGCCTCGGTTCAGCCCCATCGTCTGCTGCCACTACCACCCCAGTATTTGCATTGTTGACAGGTGAGTAAGAAAAACTGTTTGTCTACAAACTTATTGTTGTATTTTAGCGGCCGTTGGTCCGACACTGTTTATGTCACCGCTCAGTGAAGTATTGTTAAGTTAGCTTGCTTGCTAACTAAATGTTAGCTTTATTCCTTTTTTTTTCTTCTTTTTTTCCAATCGAGGTATTGGAGGGGGTCTGGTTTGGGGAATCCGCGAAATCACTGAGGTCGCCATCTTTCATTGAATACTGCTGCCAGCCAGCTAACTTTGACATGGCTGCTACTTTCGCACACAGAGTGAACTTTTTCACTAAAATAACACACGACGCTGTGGTGCGTTCACGGGCCCGAAACGTCACCGCCCGATGGTTTCTTTTATTACCTATATTTAGTCCGCACTTTGCCCGTGTGACGGAGTGTCGCCGTGCCGGGCTTTCCCCGGTGTGCATGGCATGCTGAGGGGGCAGTGTTTCTCCACCCCCCCCCCCGACGGGCTGTGTCAGCCACTAAATACGACCTGCATTGCGTCTTGGGCAAGAAAAACGCAGTCATCCGCGGGCGAAGTTGTTGCGAACAAACGCACCCCACCCGCTGCGATGGCCTTTGTTTTGGATGGAGATAAACACCGGTTGGATGCCCCAACGGGGGGCGGAGGGGAGGGTGCATGGTAACGATCCGCCACCAGTGGTAACACATCAACTAAAAATAAACTCCTTTGCTGCCCCCCCCCCCCCCAGTCTTCCTTCCCCTGCATTATTTTTTGGGAGTTGCAATTGAGTTATAAATCACCTCCTGTGCAGGGTGGAGACGGGGCTGTGTAGGTGGAGGAGGGTTGAGTCTGTGTTTTGGATCAGCTGTAGTCTAGACGTTATGAGTGACTCACTGCCTGTCTAGAAGAGGTGACATGGACAGTGACCCATGGGGTCAGTGTGTTTAAAAATACATAATTTATGGGATGTTTGGGGTCACAGCTGATTTGTGATTACCCTCTGCCTTACTTTACATAGACACCAGGACCTGGTCTTTCAAAGCAGTTCCACGTCTTGCTTTGTGATGAGTATTGACCGGCACAGATTAAAATAATATTTTAATTGTCTGGATTACAGGAGAAACAACCTTGTTTTAAGATTAATACTGTGCTTTTTTAGACTTCTGATCAGCATAGTTTCCTCAAACTTATCCAAGAGGATTTACACCGATCACTCACTACTGTGTATAAGCTGTCGTTGTGTATTGTCTGAAAACATAACAAACACGTTTGTTTACTTTTCCAAGGATGGTTTTGAATTATAAACAGATCTTGTTCTCTCAACCTGGATGATATTCCTTGGTAAAACCACAGAAATGTGTTTATTAAACTTCTAAATCTACATTTCTGTCACCATGTTTTAAGACAACTGTTGAGAAAAGTCTGTCACACAACAGCTGTTTTGAAAGCTCCCTGGTATCAATGCAGAGATGTGTTTGGCTCCATTCATTGCAGTAGCAACACACACACACACACGTCCTGTATAGGAATCAGTATATGGATCAAAGGTCACCAGCTTTACAGCAATGCCATTCTTTTTCTACTTTGTATGCAAACACGGCACGAGTCCAGAGTCAGAGACAGGCGGGCGATTGTTGTTGGAGATTATCACAGCTTTACCAAAAAACAACAATCCAACGGACAGAAAATAAAGGTTTACTTTCCTGTGACGGTGGGTTCTCCTCGCTATTTTTAGTGTGTTGTTGAGGGCAGATGTGGTAGTGATCAATCAGAACACTGCGATGGAAAATATAAAGATGCAACTACGACAAAAAGTTGTCCCCCACAGACACAGAAAGAAGGATCCAGTGCATTTTAATGTCCCTATGAGGAGAAAACTGAACTAAGCGAGTAGTTTGGGTTGATGGTCAGCATGGCTGGAGCAATTAACTGACTGCCAGTTAATTATATTGATTGAATCAAATGGGGATATCCAATTAAACAGCTTTCCTTAAATCTGCAAAGCCGCTTGTTGCAGGCTGCTCCTCGCTGCATAACTTTTGTTGAATGCATACCTTGAATCATTTGTCAAATTAAATGTAAATTGTCACAAAGTTTGGTAAACACTCGACAAATTATACATCATATATGATATATAGATTAATCATTATTGCTTTGTAATTTGTTTCAGTTTAATAATTAAATACAAACAATTTACAAACCCTTTTCATTTTTAATTTTAATCCTGCATTTGTATTTTGTAAATATTTTGAGCGCTGTCCTCTGGCAACATGAAACATGCACAAGAAGATTTAGTTGTTTGTTTTCATGTTGGTTATGTCAGTCTTTGAACTGGAGATATCGGCCATTTTTCGCAGGTCCTCCTAGTTGAATTGTTCTTTATTAATTACACATATTGCATATAATTCTTCTGGAAAATTCAAAATGAAATCTTTTCTGTAAACAATTAGCTCCTATGAGAATAAACACTAAACATCAAATGTAATTTTAGCTTAATGTGTTTTGGTCACTTGGGTCAGGGTTTTAGATGATAAGGGATTTTTAGCTCAATCATTCGGGAGTCAGGGTTGAGGAGCTTAGACTTTTACATACGCGACGATGCTTTGGTACTTTAAATAAATAAGAGTGAAATTAAGCTGATTTTTGAGTCATGGGTTAATATTTTGTTTCTATTTATTTTAATTCACTGTAGCATCCAGTAGTCTGTACCCAAACAGGCATTTTAAACAAGTCACATTTGTCTCTTTTTTTAAATGAGTTTAGGCTAGCTATTGGACACGGCCCCCCTACCGCCCTTTTCTCTAGCCTTTGTCATCGCAACAGGTCTGTGATCAACATCCATTCTTAAATCCTAACTTGTTTATTTCCCCCCCCCCCCCTCTCCTGCAGCTTACTTGGTGACACAGAGACTTCTCCCTGAGGAGCCAAGAAGCAGACGGCTCATGACTTCTGACCAGGACACGAAAGTTGTAGCTGAACCACAGGTGCAGCAAGTACAAGAGGCAAAAGAGAACTCTCAGTTGGTGAGTTTTTAACGCTTATGTTCTACCTTTCTGCATCTCAGTGCTTTTAAATCCCTTCCGGTGACAAGTTTAGTCGTACAAATGAAGAAGAAACATACCAGCTTTTCTATCTGAAAGTGACAAATGAGACTGAGTGAGTCAGACATAAGAATAGTATAGTGTTTTTTTCCCCCTCCTCTACCTTCATGGAAATTGTTGCCAGTACATCATTATTCTACAAAGTGGTTGGATTTAACACTTAAAGTAAAGTAAAAAGAAAATCTGTTAATGGTGTTTATTTAGGTATTTTCTCACAGTATGCATAGTATTTACCTCCTATCTGAACTATCAAGCAGCAGCAGCAGTATTACATCTAGTATAGAGCCCCAAAACTAATCAAGTAAGGCCTTTGTTCAGACATGTCTGTTCCATAAATTGATTCGAATTGACTCCATTGACGTTCTCTCATATTTGTCAAGTCATCAACGCTGGGCATTTTTTCACCGGATTGAGTTATCCACCGTTGTATCAGTGTATATTTATTGCAGTGATCTGCTGAGTGGATGGTTGAGCTGACCACTATGGAATGCCGTTTTAGTCAAAATTAAATAAATGAATAAATACGTAAATACATAAAATATGCATTTGAAATACATCATGAAATAAATAAAGGAGGCAATAAATATTAAATACATTTAATTATTTCATGGTACTTTTATTTCATAATGCCACTTTTCATTTCCAGAGGCTTTTATTTCATAATGCCACTTTTCATTTCACGTTCTTATATGCAAACCAGGGGGCGTGGCTACATCTAACATTCAGAACAGACAACAGAGCCGTGTGCAAAAGAAGGCTGGCTAAGGGACGTGAGTGTTGATATAATGGAAGACATCGGTGGGCTCCGAGGTAGCATGCTAGCATTAGCAGATCAAATCGATCAACATGGGTATTCTGCAGATACGATTTTGACATATAGAGGGTTTTTTGGAAATACTAGGGCGGATAAGTGCTCTTCAAGATGTATACATAGACGACGAAGTTTAAAATTGTTTAAGACTGATTGAGCAACGCGTGCGTGTGGAAGAGGTCCAAGTTGAAGAAGTCAACATTAGCGCTGGTACTACAAGCACAGGCGCTGGACGCCCGCCTCTGGATATTCCTGGCGACAAGCTGGCTAACTGTGGTGTCCGGTCTATCAACCCGAGAAATCCAATATCCAGGAATATCCAGAGGCGGGCGTCCAGCACCTGTGCTTGTAGTACCAGCGCTAATCTCACGTCCCTTAACCAGCCTTCTTTTGCACACGGCTCTGTTGTCTGTTCTGAATGTTAGATGTAGATGAAATAAAAGACTCTGGAAATGAAAAGTGGCATTATGAAATAAAAGTACCATGAAATAATTAAATGTATTTAATATTTATGTATTTATTGCCTCATTTATTTATTTCATGATGTATTTCAAATGCATATTTCATGTATTTACGTATTTATTCATTTATTTAATTTTGACTAAAACGGCATTCCATGGACCACTAGGGTGTGGCTCCTCTGGTCCGAAGTCTATGAGCGGATGACTACTTCTCTCTTGATTTTATTCCCTCAGTAAACATGAGTTTATGGTCTCAATCTCTAATTTGAAGTCTTCAATACAGGCTGATGTTCATTTAGTGAATTATGGTCCCTATAGAGACAAACAGACCATAAAGCAGGGGATGCATTAGCGTGGGGCTACACACTGATTGACAGGCCTCAACCGACCATAAATCAGGGAATGCTTTAGGGCGGGGCTTAATGTGATTGACAGGTCTTATAGAGGTATACGCAGTCTTTGACTCACTCCTCTGCAAACCAAATTACATTAACATTCTTGCATCTTTTAAAAAATATATATTGCCAGATCTTTCTTTCTGTTCGTACTGGGTTTGATGCTTTTAGTCAATGAAACGTCTTTTGGTTTACGTGTTTTATTGTCAACATTTGTAGCGTTTGGCTGGTGTGAACCTTTTATGATGGACAGTTTCAATCCTTAAATCACCTGCACAACAACTGTTCAAGAGTGAAGCTTATTAGATATTAATTGAAATAGTCAATTTCGCAGCGTATTTGTAAATGTACAGTTTGTTGTTCACTGGCATTGATTTCACTTGCTGATTTAGGGCTGCGTGGTATGGCCAAAAATTGAAATCATGTTTTTTTGTAAGATTCTGACTATCGCTATTTCTTTTCTGGAGTAAATCCATTCATTCATTGACACCAAAAAGGACCGCCGGGCACCTGAACAGCTGTTCAACACTTGTTGACCGCTCGCTGGACAACCCGCTCGCAACTGGCTGGCGTGTTAGCGTGTTAGCTGTTGTGGCTGCTAGTGTTGCCACCAGAGGTAATACCAGCGACTCAACCAACTTTCCAAAAAATAATTATCTGATCTAATGTAACTTGTGTCGGATTTTCCAAAACCAAAAACTCTCCAAACAGACACAGCGCCTCTCTTGGGCAGAAGTTGTGTTGGTGTATCTCTGGTCTCTCGTTGTTCCTGCTGCATCACTCTTTTCGGTGTGTTTTTGTGTTGTTGTGAGCTGTACCCAGCACGCAGTTCAACGGGGTCATTCTGTAATTGTACAATTATTAGTGTTACACATTGTTTATATGTCACAAGCTGTTCTGTCGTGGTGTTTTACCCTGTTAAAGAGCGTTTGTTGTGGGTTATTTGTTGTTGTATGATGTTATAACCATGTCGCAATCTCAACACACGTAAGACAAGTAGCTCCGACCGCTGGGCGCTTGGCAGTGAGGAATAAAAATAAATTCTACTGCCTGCTGAAGAGCCACATCAGTTATAACGGCTATACACCCGTATTATGGTACGTGAAAAACTCATACCGTAAGAAAATCTGATACTGGTTGAACCGACATACCGCCCAGCCCGACGTTGATTATAACAGTGAAGGGTATTGTAAAGAAATCTACACCAGAGAAAGAAGTAACTAAATAGGCATGACCTGTTACATTTTGTTCCTTGGGTGGTACTGAGGCTGTGGTACTGAAAAACAAGATGTTCTCTTACTATCAACAATTTAAAATGAGATCAAAGCGGCAAAGCCTCCCAATTGTGAAGGTTGAACATCAAATGTTGTTTTTGATTAATAGTTTACTAGTCCTTAAAGCCGTAAATCAGTCAGCATTTCTGTTTTTACAGCTGCTCTTTTGTCCAATCCATATATTTCCTGATTGTGGCATCTTTGAATTAGAAGAGACTTTTATGTATTGTGAAAAATTCACAGGAAGTTAAACGTGTGTGTGTGTGTGTATGCAGATATATAAACAACGTGTGGTGAACAGCTGTTCAGGTGCCCGGCGGTCCTTTTCGGCGTCAATGAATGAATGGGTTGGAATGTTTGAATCCCAACTCACTCACTCACTAGCCAAATACCGGAAATTGTGGTTGTGGCGAGTAACATAAAGCAATTGGCATTGTGACTCGAGGGGTGAAGTGATCACTTCCTCTTTTGCTCTGTTCTGTTTTAGGAGCGGAGATGATGCTCTGTTTTGTTACGGCATCAGTCACAGGGAATGCTTTTAAAATCACCCTTCAAATGGGACAGAATTGAGGAAATGGCTGAGACAAACTCTGACTGCCTCAAGGTGAGAGATAATTTGTGTGGAAGGAAATGGAAACACCTGTGAGATCATAGAGAAGCTTGTCAGCGGGAAGGAAAAGGTGAGCTAACTCTTGACGTGTGGTACTCTGGAGATTGTGCAGGACATGACGAAGTGCATCTCGGCAGCGTTGAAGTTTTAGAAATCTCACTATAAAGTAAGGTGATCCATTTTTGAAACCAGAAACCAACTCTGATTGCTCTCTACTCAAGCGAGGAACAAATATTTCACATTATCTACTACGGGTAATATTAGAGCTCTTGTTGATGCGCTGTAGCGTGTCAGTTTTTCTGTCGGCTCGCCTCCATCACACGCCACACCACGCCGGCTGCCCTCGGCCGACTCCATCCACAACTCGTCTCTGTTTGGGGGCGTCGTGATGAATCACTGTCTCTTCACAAAATACGCCTTCAATCAGGGAAATCCGATGCCCCGCTCATACTCCTCCACTGGGAGGGAAGGAGGGACATTTAAAAACAAAAACAACCGTTGAAAGGTCAAGGCGTGCCCAGAGCGTAACCGTCCCGTGATGTCAGCAACCGTTTCTGTGGCAACCAGCTTTTTAATCTTCTTTTTTTATTTCAGGGATTTCTTTCTTGTCTCAAAAGGGCCAATTTAATTTTAGCGACCCACTTGTGCGAGGTGTGGTCGATTTTGGCACGTGGATTGCTGGGGCTTTCATCGGAGCTCAAGTGCGCAACGCAACACTCCACTGGCTATTTTTTTCTTTCTTGCCGGTCAATAACGACCCGAAAAATAAATATGGAGAGGCTGCCGCTCAGCTGCTGCGACGTGAGCCAGCCGAGCGCTGTGAGGGGCCTGTCATCAGATTTGTCGAAACAACCCTGCAGCTCTAATTGAAGTCGGGCGGGGGGGGGGAGCAGGAGCCCAGGTTTTGGCTGGAGGTGCCGTCATGTCCGGGGATCGGTCCGTTCACGTTCACTATGGATAAGATGCAGTGGTGCCGTCGGGGGGGCGTTTAACCTGCTGCGCCTCAGGCGTTGGCGAAACGCTGACCACGGCTCTGGGTTACAGCCTGTGAGAAGTGCACGCTGAGCTTCTGCTTTGATCCAGTGAGTGTGCAGAGGGGGGGGGGGGGGGCTGACATGTTGGTCTGATCGGAGCTTAGTTCGTACTCGCCACGGTGAGGACGGCGCTCGGATTGGTGCGTGACTAACAAGGGATCATTGATCAAATCATTGCTTCCATACGTGGGGAACGTACAGCGGTCAATTCATTATTTGAGATGTTTTAGATATGAGAGATCTTAAAATAACTTTTAAGTTAACTTTTGATATTTAGCAGCCAAATCTCATTGTTCAACCATTTTGCTTTAAATACTGGATTCATTTCTTTGTAGGACAATTGGAATCCGTCCTTGGCATTGCGGAGGTTGGTTTGCCATAGAGGAGACCACGGCCCGTCTTTATGCCCCCCAAAATAACACTTTGCCCCCACTTTCTCCTTGCTCTGGACATGTGTGGACTATTGCACATTGCAAACATATAAATGTGTATATATGTATGCCACACCTAAATATCCCCCATCAGGGATGAATGAAGAAATATGTCTTCATGGCACTATGTTGGTTTGTTGAAATAACCAAAATAGGGAAAACATCCCATGCTCTTTTTATACCCTGTGCTCTCGGCCACGTCTGTAAATATTTATCTTTTCATTTTCCGCCTGTCTTGTGCTCGGACGTCCCTGACCCAATTTTCTCTGATCTCTTCGCAGGAATCCGCCAAGGTTTCAGATCTCAACCCCAATGCGAAAGCATGGGCCAACCACATGTTTAGCCTGGACCCCAGCGGGAGTTCTGACACCACAACTGCCGCCCTGCAGCCATGGAAGGAGGGCTGCAACAGTTTGGCCGACCCCGGCCCAGAAGGTCGGTCGGAGGGTTTTGGGGATGCAAAATATGTTCACCGCTTCCATGCGTAGTTCCTGGGCAAGAAAACAAAACAAAAAAGGATGTTAAATATGAATGTTGTAAAAATTAGTGTAGTTTGTATGAGAGTAAAATGCTGACAGAACTTGAAGTATTTGCTGCTGTTTCAACGGTCAAACTAATTTGTACTTTAATTGCTGCAAGGAGTAATTTCCGTCTCCGTTTCTTGTCACTTTTCATGCCGAGGTGCCTCTTAAATATTCATACTCAATTTAGAATGAGCCATGAATATTCTCACCACAGTTGCCTTTTCCACCCAAATGAGCGTAATGACTCAGTTTAATGTGCCGCCGAGCAGAGGCGGCGAGGATGTGGTGGCGAAACAGAAATGATGGATTAGTCTGCGTTTTGACTGACGTTCCCCAGACTCTCTGCATCTCAATGGATATTTTCGTTGGCCTGAGATGTTTTACCAAAACAAAACATTTGAAATCACCATTACAGAATTATTGTTAATCCACCATCACCGTATAAAAACTGAATTTGATCATTCGAGCCGCTAATAAAAATGAGCTCACTTGTCCTCTGTTTCCCGGCCCAAACTTTTTTTATTGGATTATCCTGAATAAGATACATAGTATTATTTGCCACATTAAGCAAGTGATCAAACCGATGACCTTTTGGGGCCCTTTTTAAAGCAGAAAAAAATACTTTTAGGCCTTTTCATGTGCTGGTACTCTTGAGGGGTTTCGTATGAAAGGCTCTTTTAATTAGTGGTGTTTTCCTCTCGCACCGACTAACCACTCGTCCCCTCTATGTCTCTCGGCGCAGGCTATGAAGCCAGCGAGGACAAGGCTTTCAAGGAGCCCCTACTAGCCAACCCAGATGAGCCTCCACCGGCGCCGGTGATGCTGGCCGAGCCGGCCCCCGCGCCGCCCGTCACCCTGGAGTGCTCCGAGCCGGTCTACTCGGAGTACCCCGAGCCGGGGCCACCAGCGCGCACAGGTGGGCTGGTTAGTGATTGGCTGTTTGTCGGAGAGGGCTGGTTGCAGATCAGCTGGAGGTTTTCCGTTGTGTCCAAAAGGGCTTGAGGAGCGAGGGGGTGTTGGATGAAATACTCCAGGAGACTAACCTCCACTGTGAGGAGGAGGAAACTCATTTCTTATTTTCATGAACTGCTTTATTGCCTTCTTACAAGCCATGTAAAGAAACGAGGAGAGTACGTAAAACATTATGAAGAAACCAATGGTTAACATCATAAACTATTTCATTTTGCTGCTGTATATTTCATCAAAACGTTTTTAGACTGATAAATATAAATGTTTAGCAGAGGGCAAAAAGAAAACGCATGAGACAAATCGGTCACACATCTTGGATCAGTTGGTAACTGTTTCCACTGTTTCACAGTTTTTTAAGCATTAGACATATTCCCCTTTATGACTTATAAATATAATGGAGTGTTTTATTTGTCGTCTAAGTGCTGTTGGCTGAGACGGATAGTCTCTTCTTTTTTTTTTTTTTTTGTTGTCGTGTGACCTGAACGCTCACGTGGTGAAGTGGGAAAACTCCATGGTTGTAATAAGACTTCATTACATTTTTAATACGTGCTCTGCTTCAAGCAGCAAAATATATTGACCGCAGGCGAGAGAGTGAGCTGGTTTGTTTTTCCGCTTTATTTATGGTGATTTGTAACTAACCTACAGGGGGCCCGGTGCCATTGTTTTGGTTAGAATGTTGTGAGTTTTTAACAGCAGCTTCTGGCGGATGTCTAGTTCATGAATTCACTGTGTCTACTTCACCTGGATGAGTAAACACAGACCATGTATCCCCTTTGTTTATTATTTCTTTCACATGTAACTGCTTAAGTTTGGCTCCGAGGGTCAGTGATCGGTTAAGGGGCCTCTTTAATTTACCAAAATGTTTCCTCTTTGTGTGTCAACAGGCAGCGAACCCCAGCCAGAGAGTCCCCAGGAGGCTCTGAGGGAGCACCTGAAGAAGACCTTGGAGTTCTGTCTCTCCCGGTGAGTCTTCAGACTTCAGAAACTCTGACACGCAACTCAACTGAGTCCTCTTTATTTGTAAATTCAATTTTTCAGATTTTCTTTAGATGCTACTGAGCCTCAAATTCTGCCGGCGGGATAGAAGAGCTTGTGTCTGTTTAAACATTTGTTTACCTGAGCCAGAAGCTGCAGAGACGGTCGTCATGGTCAGAAAAACGGGAAAACCCCCAAAATAAAGCTTAAATTGACATTTTGTCTCATATGAAAACTCTTCCAATTAGCATTTCTCTTTACCCGGAGCCGTTGAGCTATGAAGCTATGACGGATTCAAGTGAAGGAAATTCCGTGAATCCCTTTCTAACATTAAATAGATTATACGATGACACGAATGTTGTGTTATGAAATACTGGCGGAGAAAGGGAAACCACTAACAACTCTTGTCACATTTCACCCCACGCTACATTGAGAAGTGTGAATCCGCTGTTAGACCCGTGTGTTACCTCTGGGTTTCCTAAACAAAGCCCAAGCGACGCTATTAATGTGAACACGCTTTCACAGTCTAACCTACCCCATCCGAGTAAATAAAGGTTTGGTTTCACCCGCCGCCCTCGGTAACGATGGCTACGTGTTAGCCATCGCAGCTAACCGGCCGTGTGTCGCCTCTCGTCCCTTCAGGGAGAACCTGGCCAGCGACATGTACCTCATCTCTCAGATGGACAGCGACCAGTATGTGCCAATTGTGACTGTGGCCAACCTGGACCACGTCAAGAAGCTCAGCACTGACGTGGAGCTGATCGTGGACATCCTACGATGTGAGTTGATATGAACCCAGACATGACGGCATCTAGTCTCCTGAGAGATCTGCGACTGCAGGGCATTCATCAGCCCTACCTGCTTTGTGGTTTTATTCGTACACAAACTCTATTTACTCCTTCACGAATCCTGTCGGGCTTCAAGCTGCGGCCTTTTTGTCAATTTGAGTTTCATACGAATTAAATTGAATGTGATTCTGTTTGATTTTTTTTTGTTGTTAATGCCACCTTCACATCTGCAGCTCTACCATTGGTCCAAGTGGATGAGAAGGGGGAGAAGGTGCGACCCAATCAGAACCGCTGCATCGTAATCCTCAGAGAGGTTCCTGAGAGCACGCCCGTAGAGGTCAGTGGAGGTCTTGTGGGGGTTTGATTTGGGATCTGATTCTCCAAACATGGCATCTAAAGGCGAGATGTGTTGTCCAGAATTTAATTAAAACATTACCAAGACTGCGTTTTACGAGAATAGAAAAGGACCGTGAAAGAATTGTTGCCATTGTTAATATCAGTATATTCAACAACCATACGCTGAGATGATAAGGACACAAATTTGCATGGAATTTCTTTTGTGATTTCAGTCAAAATCACACTTAAAAATACAGCGAAACCTCAGAGTGCTTCACATGAATGTTAATCTTTACTTCATGAGCTCTTTCCAGATGTAGCGAACGCTTTGCATTGAGACAGACTTTGCTGTCAAATTCAGCAATAAACAAAGAACTCCTAAAATAGCGATTTAAAGCCCATAATCGCCACATCGTCAACAGGAAGCAGAAGATTGTGAGCGTGGCCTTTTCAGGCCCCACACATCCGTGTGACCGAGTTGGTCGAATAAACCAGTCCGAGGTCGTCCTGCATTCATGCATCCAATTTAAATGTCTCACCTGTTCCCTCCAACCTGGTCATGATTTTTATAACGCAGCCCACCGAGGCAGCAGTTTTAAGGAGGTTTATCTGTCTGTAAATAACTTCGTCAGCGCCAATGATGAGGTCAGAACAAAGGGAGGAAGCCTCATCTTAAATGCTACACGATATTTAATGATTGTTCGGCATTAAAAGGCACGTGATTAAATTGATTAATTTACGGCGGGACTCAAACGTGATCATTTTATAAACTGGTTCCTGGAGCGTCCCTTACTAGCAACAACTGCAACTGTTCTTTCTTCTCAGCAAATGTTGTGTTCAGTGTTTAACGGTCGTTATTGGATTATGGATTATGTGTTATTTTTTACGATCCGTTTTGTAGATAAACATGCAGGACGTCTGCACACATTTTTTTAAATGTTAAACTAGCTTTAATGTTTTAACACGTCATACAAAAATCAACTAAATCATCCGTTTCACACTGGAGGAAAACATTTGACTAAAAACGCCTGTCCTCGCTCAACGTAACCGATGAAGACAGTTTCCCTTTCTTGGACGTTGTTGCCTTTTAATGAAAATACATCGATGGCGTTCATGTGTTGCAGGAGGTCGAGGCTCTTTTTAAAGGGGACAATTTACCCAAGTTCATCAACTGTGAGTTTGCCTACAACGACAACTGGTTCATCACCTTTGAGTCCGAAGCAGACGCGCAGCAGGTAAGATGATTCATTTCTTTGTCCTCCTTTTTCTCTCACTAGTGTTGTTCGATTAGTTTACATCCCAACCATGAATAATAATAATAATTATATAGCAGGATGCATAACTCCATGTTACTTCTGTCTGTCATTCCACCCAATATTTATGGGGGAAGATAGGGAGAGAGAACATTTACAATAAATATTCTCTAAGATATTTAATATTCTCTAAGATCTAAGATAAATCAAAATATTGCGAGGAAAAATGCTAAAACTGTCATGCATTTAAATAACGAGGAATTTACTGATTTCTATCACTTTATAATGTATTTATGTCACAGTGTTTCCAATAAAGTTTAAACTTTGAAATCTTAAAACTTTAATCTGGGAAATTCTGTGTTTTCTCTTCTTGTTCTTATTATAGTTTTCATGTTTTACCGGGTGCTTAATATGCTGCTGTATGTATTTGGGCAAGTCCAGTTTTCCCCTTTTGACATAGCACATGTTTATTGTAACGAATGCAATGTTAGTAATTTCAAACGTAAGGATTCCTCTGGTGTGTCGCATTCTTATTTCATTTAAATACTGGTTCCCTCTCTCTTCATGAAGGCATATCAGTACCTCCGTGAAGAGGTGAAGACCTTCCAAGGGAAGCCTATTAAGGTAAGTTACATCTAGTCCAAAAAGACTGTTGTTCGTACCAAGAAATACTGATAAAAGCGCACACTCAACATTCTCAACATCCAGCCCTCTTCTTTGTAATTGCTGCCATAATAAAGTTATCACAAAATTACTTGTGTCCCCCTTCCTGACTCCGCCAGGCGAGGATAAAAGCGAAGGCCATCGCCATCAACACTTTCATGCCAAAGAACGGTTACCGGCCGGTGGAGGTGAACCCGTACGCCCAGCAGCGCTACACCTCCTACTACATCCCGCCGGTCTACAGCCCGCAGCAGCAGTTCCCCCTGTACAGCCTCATCACGCCGCAGACCTGGTCGGCCACGCACAGCTTCATTGACCCCACGCTGGTGAGTCAAAGATGAGCGGCATTCTGCCATTGCTGAGGCAGAGGAAGTGGTATTTAGTTGTTCATTTAATTTGAACGTTATTGCTCAAGTTTACGTTTCACCTGTTTTAGTTTTGACCTGTTTTTAAGTCGGTGAGTAAGAGGTGATGCAATACGCCACAGTCCTTTTTTTTAACGGCTTATTCATAGTTTGACATCCAGCCCTTTCAAGATAAACCTGTGAGGATTCTGTTTTTGACACATTAGTATTTTGTAAATAACTAATAAATAAGCGTTACAAGAGTTAATAAATATAAATAAGTTTTAACCACTTTGCCTCCAAACACTCAACCTTTCTCTTTTTTTTTTCTCCTGTTCTCCAGGTTGCACCATTTCACAACAACCAGTACATCAACGGATTTACCACATCGCACAGTTTCAAACCAGCGACGTCCCCGCTCACCGTCAGACACTACTCTCCCAGGAACAGGTTCGTCAATATCAAAAGTGCAGGAAGACGAGCAAAGAAAAAAGAAGTGCTTTTAAATGTCTTACAATCTACAGTCTTACAATATAGTTTGGAATTTTGTTCGATCACGCGATCGCAGGAGTCACAGTAAACCCCACCTGAGGCCGACACTCCCCACGGTGGACCGCAGCGCCGGGCTCCTGGACAACCCGGGCCTCTTTCCCAGCTTCCCCAGCGAGCGGCTCAACGGCGTCCGCGGGAGTCCACCCGCGCGGCTTCCCGCCAGCCAGCCCAGGACCCGGTTGCCCTCCACCGCGGCCTTCCCCCGCAGGGACACCGCGGGCACGGGCCGGGTGACCGAGCCCACCGCCCCGGACTACACTCTGGGTCTCGGGCGAGGAAGGTAGGACACCCCCCAAACTATCACGCAATACACTTTTCTTTGTCTCTGTACATTTGTATTTCGTTATGTTAATAAAGCGGCAACAAGAATACCAATAATAACAGTGAAATAAATAATGAAGTAACCTTTAACCGGGGGGGTCTCTTTCCATCATCCACGCTGTTTTCAGCCCTTGAATGTTACACACCAAATGTCGCCCTGTTCTTTCTTAAAGGATTTTTTTTTTCTGCTTCTAGGAAAAAGAGGGACGAGAAGTTTACAGTAAGTACATTTCATTTTTTCAATTGTTCAATTGCCAGCTTTAAACGTATCAATGTGATGTTCGACGTGAGTTCCACGGTTCCTATTTTTACTGTTTTTGCCTGTCGCCCTGTAGAGAGCAACGCCCCAGTCGCCGCCGCCGCCCCCCAAACCCCCATCCCCGAGTTTTGAGCTGGGCCTCTCCAGCTTCCCCCCGCTGCCCGGGGCGGCCGGTCAGCTCAAGACCGACGACGTGTTCGACAGCCGGCTGGCCAGCAGCGTCGTGGTGGGAAACGCCAAGGAACGGGTAAGAGCTGACGGAGGGTCGTCTGGCTGTCAAGGTTTCCCTGTCGCTTAGAGGATCAGGGATTAACTTTTAGTGGCATCGGGGGGCAAGTTGCAACCGTTCATTGGGATTTTAGTACAACTAGGAGCTACTGCTTTATTATGTATCTTCAATCACAGGCTCCAAAATGCATCCTTACCCTCAGGTAATGTAGAAATGGGAATAGAAAGTGTCCCTTTTGGGCTGCCGCAGACATGGCAGACGACCTGCTACCCACATAGATGTGTGGATCTTTTTCTAAGCTCTAAACTTTAGTTTTATGTGCAACAAATTACTCCGCCCAATATTTATGTAGCATGAGAAGCTACGGCGCTTCTAACTCTCCTTCCTGTTTGCAGAATGTAATTGCGGATTCCAGCACCGGAGCAGCGCTCTCTCCTGCGGGCCCCAAGGAGCCCCTCCGGTCCTCCGCCTCCCCGATGCCCACGAGCTTCCAGTCCTCGCCGACTACCCCGACGGCCTCGGCTTTGACCCTGACCCCAGCCGCCGGCCCGCCTCACAGTCCCGCCCCTTCCCTCCCAGCAGCGTAAGAACCACACTGGCAGAGTTCAATCTGAAGCTTAGCTCAAGGTCTGTAGGACATGTAGGTTGGCGTATGAGCTTTTCCATATAAAATACTTAGCTTAGTTATTATACCACACTGTCGCAGAGGTGTAACGGCTCAGTTTTATGCGCAAGTGGAAGAACTTGAATTGGCTGATGGATGAGTAGTTACGTTTACACGTATGCAGTAACTCTACTTCTGTCTTGATTTATTCCCTGATTTATTCCCTGAGTAAACAGGAGTTTCGCCATCTTCTTTTCCTCCCACGTTTTGGTTTAATATGACGTAGCCTACTTTGTTCTGTTTAAGGGAGGTGAAGCCGGTGGAGGTGAAGCCAAAGGAGGCGCAGCTGTCTGTGGAGCGAGTCCCCGGCACTCTGTCCACTGCAAGCAAATCAGTGCAAGTCAACGGCGCTGCCACAGTCAGTATTACTTCTCCGCACCCCCTCCCAACACACACACACACATATCATTGTGTGGCAGCTCGTAGGAGCCGCGTGTAGGAGTGGGCTTATATCCCAGGAGGCTCCAGGAGGAAGATGAGAAGACTGAGGAAACGGCGAAATTAAAAGGCTCTCCGATTAGGACAAAATAATGTTGCTCTCAGAACTACTCAGAGTAGTACGTTGCTATAGAAAAGGATTTTGTTTGGTCTCAGCTGTTTTTTTATGTTTACCGATAAAAAGACCCGATCGTTTTGATTGAAGTGAGGATTTGTCTTCAGTTTGTATCACCTGATGAGTCACACATTTAATCCAAAGATGTTAATTCATGAGAAAAGTTGACGGCGGACTAATGACGCAGAATCAATCCCGTTCTAGAAAAGATGATCGTACTTCCGATGGTAGACGATAGAATATTTGATGTCTGTTGTTGTTGTTGTTGTTGTTTACCTCCCAGGAACTGAGGAAGCCCTCATACGCTGAGATCTGCCAGCGGATAAAAGACTCCCCAACGTCGCAGCAACCGCCACCCCCCAAGGAAGCCAAGCCAGCTGGCGCCGGCGAGGACAAGAAGTGCCCTGACGCCGCCAGGCCATCCAGGGAGGCGCGGAGGCCGGCCGGACGGTGGGCCTCACCACCCCCACACACAGGGAAAACCCCCAGCAAAGATCCCCACCACACCCCGCCCAAGTCCCCGCAGTAGTGCGAGAGCCTCCCCCCCACTGCGCCCCACAGATGCGTTTAAAACAAACGAAAAGGAAATAATAAGTCCGGGCTACTCAGCACTTGTATCACGAGTCATGAGCAAGAACAGACGACGCCTTCTTTCTGGTTCAGGGCTTGCAGGCAAAAAGCACTTTACCGTGCATGCAGAGCACCGTTTCAACCCTTTTATTCCTATTCATTTGCTTTTTAATTTTCCCTTTAATTTCTTTTTTTGCATCACGTAGCCTGTAAGTCGGCACAGACGACACTGAAATCCATTCATTCTATTCCGATGGCCTTGTGTGAATAATTAGTCAGTGGGGCATTGTCTGAAGCCCCACCCCTTTCCCCCACAGTGCATGGTGGGAAAGCGTTTGCGTACAACAGACTCCACCTTGTTTGGCTCTCACAGCGAGGGGTTTGTTTGCATGTTGAGTGGCACCGTCGTGCAACTTAAAGTAGCTTAATTATGGGTCGTAATCAGCAGATGTGTTTAATACATCTTCAAATCCATATGCAAGACTTAAAATCTAAATCTCATCAAGACTCACAATCCTTTGGGTGTAAATCTCCTTTTTACTTTTTTTTGCAGGTTAATTTACACTAGATGACTTATGCTCGTTGATGTTTTGTTTTGCTATCGTTGCCATGGTAACTTCATGTGGTAACTTCTATTTTCTCTGTAAATCACCAAATCCTTCTGCTGTGTTGTTTTTTACTGTTCGCTGACACTGCTAACTGTGCTGTGCAGCATAGCTTCCGTCTAACAGCTGTGATGTGATGTCAGCGCTGTTTTTTGTTCTTCGCTTTGGTGCATAACACCGTTACACCAAAACCTGCAACCAAAAGTCATTAGGTGGAAGGTTGTTTTTGTTTAGTTGCTTCGTGAAGACTTGAATGGGCCAAGGGACGTTTGGGGAGAAGCTAAATTTTCTTGGCATTTGCATTATATGGGAAAAGCAGCGCAAGCTCTCCTTTTCAGTTTCCTATTTTAAAAAAAAACAAACAAACTGTGGAATAAAAGCGCGCACATACTGCCTCAAAGTAAGAGGCTTGGCGGGCGGCGTTAAAGTCCAGCTGCAATAAGCGGTCGGAGGGGAATTGGGATCAGCTCGGGACGCTCGGCCCGACTCCACGCGTGTGACTGGTGACTTTCACGTTTGAGCTCCGAACGTCCGACAATGAGTGTCGAGTTTCCTGCGCGAGGAGGTGCGAGTTGTGTTGGTCCGTTTCCTCTGGACGTGGTGCTAGCCGTCAAAGCCCTGTCGCTCATCTGGTTTTTAGTCGACAGAACTGCGTTTGCACTGTTAGCGGGTGGAGATAGAAAAAGGGAATTGATTGTGAACGTTGAGGGGAGTAAAAAAATCCCAAATGCTAGATCTTTGTCTTTGTGCCTTGTGGACGTCTGTTGGACACACCGGGGAATGACGACCGTTCCTTTTTGTTTTTGGCTTCCAGCATCACATGACCCTTTTATTTTTCGACGGATGTTTGCTTTACATTTTCGCTGAAGCAGCTGTTACGGCGTGCAGTGGTTTGGGGTTTTGGTTTCTGGTTCTTGGTTCTGTAGCGGTGAGAATTTCATTGAAAGAAGGGTGCTCGTGAAATATAGAAAGTCAGATGGTTGAATAGAAAGTTTTACTGCAGATGACGAAAGTTTTTTTTTGGAGGGTTTATTATTTATTTTTTTTGCCACGTTGGAGGGAGAAAGAGTCCGGCGTGAACGTTGTCCGGCAAAAAACCTCTAGAGATAAAAGGAAAAAGTTGAATGAGATCCATCGCCATGGAGGCGCTCTGTTCGTCTTCCTCAGCATCGAGTCTTCACCACTCTGGTCGGCTGTTATTTGTCAGCTTGCTCCTTCCTCAGTCTTCGGTTTGATCACTTTGAGTTGTTTCTATGAAAAAAAAAAAATATATATATATATATATATATTATATATCAAACTGCGCGCTGGCCAAACGTTTGTTTTTATATATAAATATATATATATAAAAACAAAAGATTGGCCAGCGCGCACGGTTCTTCTTCCTGCTCCACCTCGTGTTCTTGGGTTAAAATGTAAAAGCACAGATCTCAAAGGGGGAAACAAACCGCTAACTGCAGCAACCACACAGATTCCGGCTCAAAGGGACATTTGTCTTTCCTGTTGTCCGTGAGGCAGCGAGAGGTCGGATACGGGGCGCCGGAGGGGTCGGGGGGCGTCGTTTGGTTCGGGAGGTCTGTCTTCTGTAGCAGCCACTTTAGCAGATAACCAACCAAGTCTTGGATGTTTTACTGTATTCTAAATGTTTAATCTGCTGGCAAAATTATATTGAAAAAGAAAAGGTTTGTGTAAGAAGTTTGGAATGGTAGAACTGAAATTATGAAACGTTGAAGTTATTTTTTGGGGGGGGTTGTTTTTTGTTCCCTCCATTACTCATCAGTTGAGTGCTTGGGTTTAATCTCTTCTTAAAAAGTTCTCACCTCGGATGCAAAACAACCTTAAAAAAACACTGTATGATACACAATGTCTTATTTTTGGGGGGAAACCAACCTTACATGAAGTCTTCCTGCAACATGAAGCATTCTGGGTAATCCCACTATGACAAAACAACCCGTCCTGAGAGGGGGAAGCTTAAAATAATAATTTAAAAGGCCTTTACTCACTTTTGAGCTCACCGCTGCTTTTGATTTGGACGCAAAATCTCCAATTTGAGAAAAAGAGAGAACCTTTTTTTTGAAGGACTGAGATGCACTTGGATGAGTCAACTTTTATTTTATTTTCTCACCAGTGGAAATGCTAAAGGAGATGGAAATGCAACACATCCACTTATTTATAAACCAATGCTGTTCCATGAAAAATATAACGTTTTCTTTGAAGAAGGAAATATCTCATCTAGATATCTATATCTATAAAATGTACAGATATAGATATCTGTATAGATATATATATATATATATATATACATATACCCAAAATGTAAAAAAATTAAATTCCATCCGTTGTTTGAGAAACTTGAATTTTATTTAAACTTGAAAAAGACTTTGCCTTAACTTTTATACAAGACAAACCGTTTATTTCTTTTCACACACGAAACAGATCCCCTAAATGTTAACGAAGCGGAAACATCGAGTCACAAGTCTTACCGAGAGAGGCAGCATACAAATCCAGCTGTTTTCTTCAGTTCCTCTTTTTTGTAAAATGTACGAAAAATAATCTGTTTGATTGTTTTTTTTTTTTCTCGTAGTATCAGGTGGGTTTATTTGGGGTGGGGGGGGACGACTACATAAACCGTGTAAATGACAAACTAGTCGATACTGTATTAAATTTGTGCACTTTGAAGTGTGTGCTTTGCCTGTACAGTTGTAAATACTCAGAAAAATATAAGAGGTACCTTAAAATGATTATAAAAAAATATATTGATCTTGTCGAACTGTTAATGTCGCTATCAAGCTGGATGTAGGATATAAAAAAAATGTATGTCGTGCTTTTTGGAAATATTTTTCTTTTAATGTTTTTGTTTTCTAGTTTTGGGTTTGCAGAGTTTGAAATCTGCTCTTATCTGCAGGGCAGCTTGTCTGATTGTACATCTTTTTGTTGTCCTTTCATTCCATTTCTCACCGCGCGGGTGGCTCCTGAGGGTACAGGGGTCTCCCCCCCCCCCCCCCCCCTCCCCTCTTCCTCACTGTGCACTAATTGGACAGAGCCTGTGGTACTGACATCTTATTAATTAACCCTACAAAGCTGCGTGTCCACCAACGTCCTCTCTGGCTTCTTTTTATTTTACTTTTTACACTTTTTGGGATTTTGATTTCTTTAATTATGGCAGAAATCTAGAAATTGAAATACCGAAACAGAAAAAAAGCACTACAGGTCAGTTTTGTTTTTGTTTTGTTTTTTTGTCGTCAGCCACTATTACGAGGTTGTCTGGGACGTGGTTGAATACGTTGTAAGACGAATAGATGTAACATGGAAGTATTAATGTTTTGTAGACCCTGACACTAACGCGGAGTGTCGACGTACCCGGATGATTTTTGACGTGTTCGTCCACACGCAACTCCGCAGTATGAAACATCGCGGCACGGGAACCATATGTAACGTTGGACGATATTAACCCGATCCACGGCTAAAGTTTGCTGCCTTTTTAGAGGATATCGATTTTGGTGAAACTTCATTCGTGCTTTTCTGTCCAAATTCAAAGGCGTGTTGTTGGTACATTTATGGTGTTTTGGTAATTTGGAGCAGTTACACATCTTCTTTGAGACTAAGACAAGTAACACTCAGGGTTGGTGTTAGCTTAGCATAAAAACAAGTCAACTTAGCGGGAAAGTTTGCGCGGGCGCCATTTTTAATGTACTGTTGTGTGTAGCGTCCGTATAAAATTAAGCCGGCTAGCCGTTACCGCTACGCAGCGGTTCACGCGCACACTTTATCACAGCGAAGGAAAGCACAGCCACCGGATATCTGACCAGCGTAGCTTGGCTCTGTTCACAGATTCCCTCCACTGACACCTCCAAAGATTATACACAGACGAAAATAGCTTTGTACACTTCCAGCACGTAGCACGAATCGTTTTAACGTTTCTGTTTTTAAATATTATACTTCCGAGAGGCAGGACATCCTTGATTCCCTAGACTGAGCCCGGCTAGACGTTTCGAGTCATTTATGCTAAGCTAACCAACTCCAGCTTAAAGAGTTGCATTGTGTCCCCTCGTAGAATCGCACCTGACGTTTCTTTGACAAAGATAAATGCTAATTGAGTTAGCATACAACAGCTATCACTCAAGAAGGGGCCTTCCATGGTTTTGAGCTTCGGTGGTAAAAACTAAAATCTTTTGTTTGAAGAAGGAATTGTTTTCTAAAGGCACGAACTCCAATAAAATAATCGGAAAGCCAACCAGCGCAGACATTTTGGTACCTGACAGCTTCCGTATTTGATATCTACAGCTAAGGCTCATGGGAGATGTAGTCCACCGTGTTGCCCTGCAGGTTTTCTTCTCGTTTCTCTTTAGAATACCGACAGAAAAAACGAACTTCCGCTCTGTGAGGGTCTGAAGTACGTTTATTATCGTTTTAATAAAACAAATAACCCAGGAGAGCGATGCCTGATGGACACGCCCCAGTTTTGTCTTCAGCGTTCGGCTCGTTTACGCACACTGCGCCTGTAACCATGACGACTGATGACACGATTAGTTTTTTCTTTTTCTTTTTTTAAAGACACCGTTTAGGGGAGATAAAGTGAGACGTTGGGAGTCGAGTGTCGACTCTTTGAACCAGGCGATAAATCCCAAAACAACGTATAAAAAGTCCTCTGTAGCTGAGGGTGTTTTAATGGACGTCCTGATGAATACGTACAGATTATTGTCTTTCGGGGAAGGGGTCGAAAGCAGATACTCAACTGGAATCGGTGTTTGTTTTAATTTTTTGTTGTACACGTTGCAGAGCGACATACCTTTCTGGCACATACAGACATGCGCAGAAGTGAGTGCGAAGACAAAAAACCCAACAACTGTGCCATTATCCGACTGTTGTGTTGATTCTGGGTGGTTTGTTCTGTACATAGTCCAGCGCTTTGCCCTCCGGCTTCTAGTTCGGTTTATTTTTTTTATTTCTTTCATTTTGAATATGTGATTTTATTTTGTATTTTTTTTGTTCTTGTTCCCTGAAAGTCCAATCAATGACTGTAAGGAATCTACAATGTGACAACGCCGACTTCTGGGAGCAGGATCTTTTATTTTGTTGTCGACCCTCAAACTTTTGAGAGGCTGATTTACAAACGGTGTGGATGTGAGGAGTGAAGAAAGACTGCGGAGGGGGGGCGTTGACTTTTTGTTCTCCTCCTTTTGAAGTGCGGTACCTCGGACTGGACGGTACCGGGGAGGGTGGGGTCCTGGTGGTGTCTTCTCCTTTCTGTTTTTTGTCTCCTTTTCTGTCACGGACTTCTACACGGAGCCTCATATCAGCCTCAGCATCCTCCCTCCCTTCAGGTGCCACAACACCCCCCCCCCCCCCCCCCCCCCCCCCAAAAGGGTTGCACCTCTTGTTTTTATTTTTCGTCATCATTTCTCAGCGATGAAACATTGGATGCAACCGACTGGAACGAGACTCGATTTCTCTTTTTCGACTCACTGTGGTTTAACTCATTAACACTCTTACCGTGCTAAGCTACGCTAACAGCTGTGGACAATCGACGACTACTTCCTGTTGGGCTTTGGACAGGTGATTTCTTCCCTTTGTTTGACCCAACGACACCTTTTGCAGATGTGGAATCGGAGGTTGAGTTCAAGAGGGCTTTTGTTTTTCTTTTTTTCCTTTTTCGGGTCTATTCTTCCATCGAGACTGGAATCAAGTGTACATGTCAGCTATAGATAATTTAAGTTACTCTGTGTCATGATGTAAAACTGTCTAATTTGGAGAAGAAAATGTAGCTTACTGAAAAATAAAGATTTAGGCACTGTTGAGGAGCCGCTGTGTCGTTTCTTTCTTCTGTGAGCAGAGCTGTTCTGTTAATTTTAAATTTCAACAGTTACAAATTAAAGAAATGCTGTGAATATATAACAATGAATATCAGAATTCTCGAGTTCTTCTTAAATAAAACATGAAATACTTAAGTGCATGAGTGAGTTTGACATAAATAGATGTGTGAGTGTAGTACTTTTACTGTTTGTTCATGCGTAAATGGCATTCATCTGGAAAGTTTTATTTTCATTTGAATTTCATTTTAGGAGAGTTAATCTTTGATTTCAGTATTTACTAAACTGAAGCCAAATACAGAAGTCTTTTAGCTAATCAACATGCTGTGAAATTCTCCCGGTTTTCTGGAATTCTGAGTAAATATGCAAATCAGGCAACATGGATTTTACTGAAACTGAGGCGAAGATGATAATTCAGTGAAAATCCGAAGAAGGCGTCCGTTCACTTTTGTTTTCAAAATGTAATGTCAACATTCTTTTTATTAAATTTATATTTTAAAGGACCTGAGGTGTCATTATGTAAAAGAATATCCGATACATTGGCACTTGTGTTCTTTTAGTTAAAATGTGTAAAAGTACCCTGTAAATACTGCAATCTACACAATTAAATTATTGCTCATCTACAAAATTAATCTTCAGCCGGTTCCTCATGAGGGTAAAGAACCACAAGAGGGCAGCGAGCTCACAGAGGAAGCTGCTGCTTCTTAGGGGGGCATTGTTGATTCATGTATGTGGGCTTCCTGCATTAATATATGTATATATAGATACACACATTATATATATATAATATTATATATGTGTATTGTTAATCCGTGCTTGACTGCGAGTTATACCGACCCGATCTATCTATATAAACTTTGGAGGACAAATATCACGAGAGAGAGATTGGATGCAGGTTCCGGTAAACACTTTAAGGGTGTTTATTTTGTGCAGGTGCATCAGCTTATAAAGACAGTGAAATTACTCACCTGAAATGCATCAGCAATAATTGGGAGCACCATAGAGTTTGACAATTATTCAATTAACATGTAATATATATATATATATATATATATATATGTGTGTATACATGTGTACGTATATATAGGCATACAGATAGATGTCGTTTGGCGCCCTCTAGTGGTTGTTTAAATATTTTCCATTAAAAACTGGTCAAATCAAAAAGTTGATCAGAAGTCAATGAAATGCAACATGAGGTTCAGTTATTAAATGTTCTCTTTCTGTCCTCACGTCACCTTCAGTGAATTCTACCTGCGGTGTGCACAAAGTCACAAGTAATCCACGAGCGCCACACAGGAAGTGGACGGAAGTGGTCACCTTCAAAATAAAGGAATCACAACAGTTTGGCGAGTGGAGAAGGAAGTGCTGTGGTCTGTAAAACAAAACCAAAGCGTATCAAATCTATTTCAGTGTATTTTTATCTGACTTGTGTTGCTTTAGAAACCGTGTTTCTCATCTCTGGTCTTTTGTAAATGGTTTTTTAAAGAATATGTTTTGATTGTTTTTGCGTGAAAAATGAACGAAAATATTGAAAACATACCAAGATACTTTAAGTAAATTATAATCAATTATATTTGTTAATACGAATAAAACTGACTATACATAATATCCAATACATTCGAATTTACAATTTGAGTTTATAATTTGTTTGGGGGGGGGGAATATTGGCCTTATATGGCCTTATATCCTCTTCTCCATCAAATGTATCTATGCTCATTGACTCTCACATCCTCAGGACAATTACTCACATGAGATGAACATGTGATGAAAAGTTTACATCATGAGGTTAAATGTCAGCCATATAACATTTTTTCCATTTCTTTTTACTGTCCTGGATCAGCTTCCATAGCCAATGGAGTAACAAGTATTGATATTATATTAATATTGTAAGGTTGCATGAAATAAAAATACCCAACTTGCTGCTTAAGTGTTCTTAATTACAGAGCACTGCTGCTACTGCTGAGTTTTAGGAGTAAGGGATTCGAGGATCATTCACTTTCATCATACGACACAACAAACACATGACAAAAAAAACATCACAAACCCGACACACACCGAACGTAAACAATAGCAACAAAAATATTCCTCACACAATATGACCAAATCTTCTCACTAAACATGTGGCCCCATAACGCCCCCCCCCCCCGAAAAAAATAAAAAAAATAAAACAAAAATAAAAAATACACTGCGACGGTTAACTCAACTCTTATTTTCTTAAATCAGCCAAAGCGGAAGTGGAGGCGCCACGTTGCTTCCAGCTTGACGCTCGGTGTCGCGCAGAGAGCCGCACGCAGAGACACTTCGGTCCTCTGACTTTGGATATTTTTGGGGGGGTTTTCGAGGAGAAAGAAGCCCCGGAGAGAGAGAGAGACGGGGGAAGCAACGAGAACACCAGAGATTTAACTCCGTGAAGAAAGAGGAGGGTTTCCTCACGGCGGGAATGGCGGACCGGGACCCGGTGCCCGTCACTGCGGAGGTTCGGGCCAGACTGCCCGAGCTGGAGCTGGAGTTATCCGAGGGTGAGTACCGGACCCACCCGCCTTCCGGACGCCCCTGCCGGGGGCCACGCTGGCTGCTGCTCCGGGGGGGGAGAGCGGGTGAGAGAGATAGAGATAGAGGGGGGATTTAGAGTTTGAGCTGCATGGAGGGAAAAGTGTGTTGAAGGGCCACAAGTTCGAGTGCCGCGAGTGCCCCCCCCCCCCCTCTGTGAGACGTGGATGCAGGGGAGGTGGTGTCCTGCTGGTGGTGTTCTGATGGTGTACTACTGACGTGGAGGTGGTGTCCTGCTGGTGTTCTCCTTGTGGTGTTCTGGTACTGAACTGTGACGATGTTCATCTTCAAACTGTCTGAATGGGGGAGAAGGAATATTTAAAAGAGGGGTGCACAGAAATAGAAGAAACAAAGCTTTACATTACACGTCATTGGAATGGGCTCAGAGGAATATAGAATACATCAGTATAATATATATGTATAATATTTATAAAGCACCAAGCATTGGGGCTAAGGAAATACTATTTTTCCATTGCATTGATCCTCAATGTGCAATGTGATGAGGAATACTAAATAAAGACCCGCACAGGTCTTTGTCCAGAGCCCAGAATTCAGTGTATATTTATAGAAAAAACATCAGTTATTATCAGACCATACTGGTTCCAACAGGGTAGATAAACGCCTTTTAAACAAATGGAGATTAACATGAACAAGTACATATAAATATGATAAAACATCAGAAGCACACACAGCTTGGCACCAGGTATCGTATGATACACAACCAATAGAGCACCGTGTTACCCCCTAAAATAGTGGAAATGCACCAGACGTGTATCCAATGATCCATCGATCCTCAATGGACAAACGCATGAACAATCGGCCTCTCGTGCAGGTTGCAAACCTCTCTGAGGCTTCTTCAGGAAGCTCACTGGAACTCTCTCTGCTCACTCAATGAAAACTTTTTTTTTTTTAATGCCCCCCCCCCCCTCCTTCTCATCCTATTGGAAAAGTCGAGTTCATCAGAGCCGTGCACGCTGCTCAGATGATCCGTGCACACGCACGAGCAGAGCAGCTGTTCCCAGACACGACGCTCTGCCTGCAGCCACATTCCATCCACACCGGCGCTCATTGCGTCGCCTCTTTTACCAAGATGCTGAGACGCAGGGCGGGTATTGATTTTCTCATTAACCCCCCCCACACACCCCCCCACACACACACCAGCCCCCCCTCCCCCCCGCCCCCCGTTGGTTGTCGGATTGATATGTCACATTGCTGCAGACGGCCCTCTCAGCCTGTATCTCAGTGTCATATTTCAGCCGTTTCCTCCTGGTTCTCAGGGAGTCTGGAGGCTCGGCCATGTATGGGGAGGGAAAGGGAGAGAGGGGGGGGGGGATTTTTAACAGCTGACTGAGAATACACACATTGCATTTTAATATGTTTCCACTGCAGCTTTCAGGGGAATCTGAATATGTGTGTGTATGTGTGTGTGTGTGTGTGGGGGACACACGCTTTCCTTATTTCTGCCTTTGTGTAAACCGCTAGCTCCAATGTAAACAAGTGCGTCACGGGGGTTGGAGGGGGGGGGGGGGGGGGGGAGGGAATGGGGTCAGACGTCCCGGTGCATTATTTACATGCTTAGCTGATGCTGTAAATGCACGCCAGCGCCGCCCCCCCCCCATAACTCCTCCTCTCCCTTTCATCCTGCAGACCTTGACCTAATTTTGGGGATTTCCACGCATCATCCTTTCCTCCTTCAGAGCCCCCTCGCTGCAAGGGGGGAGGAGGGGGGGGGGGGGGGCAGGAAAACAACCTCATGTCAGGTGTCACTACAGCCCCTCAAGGGCCCACGTAGGCTGCCGACGGACCCTTGAGCAGGGCTTTATTCTCGCCCACCCCCCCCCAAGAGCCATTACACATCAAATTTCCACTAAACCAGCACGGGGGGGGGGGGGGGGGTTGCCAAATGACACCTCGTTGGCAGCATCGACAGAAGGGCTGATGTTGGAATCGAAGCGCATTGGTTGCACATGTGGGTGAAGAGTGACAAGGTTTAGTAGCACTGCTTGAGAGAAAAAATACCGCAGTGCATGCTGGGATATTTGTTGCTTTTGGTGGCGTGTCGTTGGACCTTCTCACCAGCGGATGTTTTCTGAAGGATCAATTTTGTTTTTTTCTGTCTATAAATTGTTTTTATCTTTTTTCTTTTTGTTATTTCTCAGAAACTTATGAGCACAATAATTAAAGTTATTTGTAGGAATCCCAAAAAATTTTCTGTCACCACAAACGGATAAACACGCACGCAGCTGCAGAATGACAGGTTGTCCCCTGTCAATCATACGATGTGGGGGCGGGGCTTCTTATCACCGCTCGTCCATTTAAAACCCAAATCACTGCTGAAACATTCATTAGTTTCCCTCCGAAGTGCCCCGATGGATCCAGTGGTTTCTTGTTTAATCATTAAAAGGAAGTGAGATTCTTCCTCCAGGCCTTTCTGATTAAGATTGATTCGCTTGAGGACTTATGGATTTATCATTAACGAAGCTTCTTGGAAATGAAAGGAGCGTTCACGCAACACTTCCTGGCATCCTGTGTGTAAATCAGAAACACCGTTCGGGTCGTTGCAATCAAGCTGTTGGTCCGTCAGTGACGGGACGCTTCTTCTTCTTTTAATCTTTCAATGTGGCCTCGTCAACCTGCTGCGGAGATTGTTGTTCCTTCACTCAAAAATTACTCAGACCTTTTTATAATCAAATAAAAAACAGGACTGTAGTACTTCGGTCTGGTCTTCAGACCCACTTATATCGGTCTTTGGACTGAGGAATGGTCTTGTTTCATCCTCTCATGAAGGGAAAACTTCTTCTTTCTACACCAACTAGTCTCAATAAGATTCCTCTTTGTCATTTACAGCTCTCACTCCTCTTTCTCCTCTTTTTAGTTACAAATAAATAAAACCGTGTCTGCATTTCAGGAATCAGGAACATTTATTACCAAAATATGTCAGACATACATGGACTTCGACTTGGCGGTTGGCGCATGACATCAGACAGTAAGACAATGGACAACAGATAAGACAACATAGTGCAAGAGGAATTTAAATTAAAAATAAAGTGCAGCAGCAAACAGAAAGGGACAGGTGTGTGTGTGCATGTGGAGTGTGAAGGGAGTGACCGGAGGGATGTCAGTCAGTCGGGCGGAATCTGTCGATGAGCCCGACTGCTGGCGGGAAGAAACTGTTGGTGAAACTGTCATGAATTATGTAAACACACCGACATCGATCATTGATGGACGTGCAGTCGGCGAGACGGTGGAGAAATGTCGAATCTCAAACATGAATTATTGAAGGCATTTATTTCCACTGCTGCTCATCACCTGCTGTGGGGGGGGGGGGGGGGGGTTGTGATGTGGCAGGTATTGATCGGATTCTAAAGGAC